CCTGACCCCGTGGACGTAGAGCGTTAAAATTTGGTACGAGTACAGGCGGCAGGATGGGAACACTTATGGTGAGTGGCAGGACCGGACTCTGCCCACATTGGGTGGCGTTTGAGCGGAAAATCAAAACTCCTTTAGGGGCGGGGCTAGCAGAGAATTGTCAAAATGGACCTAGAGCGACCAAAATTGGTAGGAATACGGGAGGCAGGATAGGAACACTGATGATAGGTTGCAAGACTAAACTCCGCCTCAAAGAGCTGGGCGTGAATAAATACTATTAGTTCGGACCTAGACCGTTGAAACTTGAAGGCACAAGGAGTTGGCTGGGAACATTGATGGTAGCTAACATAGTACACTCAGCCGCGATGAAGTCTCTGAATACTTATCTCTCTGAGTAATCGCCTTTGTGATATTATGCGATGTTCTATACGGACACAGCGATGATGGCGTACACAAAAATCGCTCCCAATTCGGAACTAATACTGAGGATGTGGAGCTTTCAGAAAAAAGGAGAATCCGAAGTGTTATTTGCGCATAGCAAATTTTTCACAGGAAGGAGGAGCGCCCGGCGTAGCCGGGCGAACCCATAAGAAGGAGGGAAGCCGGGCGTTAGCCGGGCGGGCCGACTGGTACATACAATAAGGTGAGTCAACTGAATATTCAATCCGTACACCATCCTAGCTTTTTGCACGAGGTAATCACCTCACCCCGGCACGCCTTTCCTCCTCGGGCTTGGATTAAAAACATATTCTACCGCCTGGAGCCACCCGAGGCACAGGTAAGATCAGCTACCCCTTTTTCTCTGCACTTAAGCCCTTAGTGTTGGATAGAAGCGTTGCCCCCTCCTCCTCCTTCAACTATAATAGTAAGTGATGAATCCCGGTGTAAGCCGGGCGACATGACTGGTTAAGTTATACTACATAAGCTTTTAGTCGACGTTTATGACAGTTAGATCCTGGTCGTAAACTTGTAGAGCTTACGAAGCATCCTTATTTAGTTAGTAGGAACACCTGGCTGCCTAGAGCTCAAACAACTGCTTCTGCCTCGACAGTATCTGAGGCCTTCTTCAAATCGATGAACGTAAGACATAACGAGATATTCCTGCGATACTCAATGGTGGCTAACGATGGCTCTGAAGTTTGTAAATTGCGGACAGCACTCACACTGGGTGATAGCGCCAGTATCGTCTGAATCTCCTTTATTATACAGCAACACAGCCTTAAAATTTTTTTAGCCGAGGATACCTCGTACTCCACCAGAACCAGGCGGAGCTACCATGGCTTTGACGATGACTGACGGAAGGGTCTTCCGATGATCTGGAACCTATCCGGACTGGGTGCCGTACGATTATTCATCGACGTAATGGCATGTCGAATTTAGGAAAGGAGAACTAAAGGGACGACTATCAGACTTGCCTAACTAGATGTTAGGTAGGCAGGAAGACGTGGCTGCCGCGAGACCATAGTAGGAGTCGTAGTTGGGCCTCTCCATTGCCCTTTGAGATGCAGTAACTGTCCCGTCGGGACGACGAAGGGAACCCAGCTAGTTTCGTATTTAGCGAAGCACCGTCTTGCTTTGCAAGCTCTTTCTGGCCTCGGTGGCTTCTTCCACAACTGCTGCTCTTCTCTCTTTTACACATCTTCCTTTATCGGTTCTCTGCATAGCTTCGCAAAATCGGACGTTTGTTGATGATCGCCTGCAGCTCAAGCAACTTCACGCTGGCGTAGCTCTCTCTCCACGCACTGAAAAACAAAAACTAACAAGAACAAAAGAATGATCCGATTCCATGTAGAACTCGGAACAACAGCGACGTCAGTCAGGCGATAAAGTGGCATATGCAGGTCTATAACGCAGCAAGGGAGCTGCAGGTGAAGACGTCATGGCTCCACCATATCGGTCAAAAATGAATATTATTTAAAAATAGCGAGCTGAAATCTAACAAAATGGGCCTCAACTTAGATCGAACACAACCGAGTTCCGTCTCAGCGAAAGAGTCTAATGAGTGGTAATAAGCGTGGCCATTATTTCGGATGTTGGCTTTTTCACTATAAGATTGGCTTCTCAGTACACCCCAGCGCAGTACAATGTTTGCGTCGCGCAGAGATCTCTCCCTAACTAGACTACCGTCATAGCGGTGTAGAGAAAAATGTTGGAACTGTGTAACGATCAAAGAGTATTTGTTTTAATAATTGTATTACCTTTAATCTTGTTAAATAAATTTATTATGACAATCTCTCAATATCTTACATATCATCCGTACATTAGTACATTCAGGCAGACTTCGAGGAATAAATAAGAGATACTATATGATACTGCAATTGACCAGAATGACGGCACACGTGCTACCAGTAAAAAACAACCCTTTAAACAATAGAAAAGCAAAATTTGATGATGGCAAGTTTGGTTTCCACATAATACCGCAATTCCAAACATTCAACGACATCGTAGACGAACACTGCCGTTATATGTGAGTAAAATACTTCATAAAAAAAACTTATCACAGACAAGAAATCACATCAGGGTGGAATTTATGAAGGAAAGCAACTTTATAATATGCTGAGCAACATGATAGAGAATACAAACAGTCAGCCGGAAAACCCGTAAAACGACAAATTTCGAGCATGATGATGACTGGATGAGAGCTAACATCTTCAACAGCATTCCTCTAACCTTCACACTAACCGTTTACCTACCAGAAAGCTCGAATGAAAAGCGGATGACATCGCAAAGCTGTCAGGTGTGTAGCGATTTTGCTAGCTTTACTTCTTATGGAAAATTCTGTCAGCTGTAGCTTTGCTGCGAGAGGTTGGTTTTGAGGCATCATCTGGGGGGATGGTTTTTTGAATTACTACCGTGTATAATTTGTTATACCACCATATTTGACCAGGTAAAACTGCCGAACATTTGAAAACTGCCGAGGTTCCCAAAGGTTGCTTTTTTGATTTATTAACAAAGGTTTCCTTTGTTAATAAATCAAAAAAGTGAAGTGCTCAAAACAGGTCGATGGATGCAAAATGAGTTGAACGAGCCACCCAACAAAAATGGAAAATAGACTGGTACACCTCCTTTACGTGGTTCACCTCATCAATCAGTCAAAACAGTCTTCATAACTATCACAATGAATTGAGTGAAAGTGAATTTTTACGGTCAGCCAATGCACAAATCAGTACTTTTATACTCCCAGACGTGCTGGACACCAATTAACTGGAAGTCGCTCTGTATAACATGCTTGCGAGTGCGCTACTTGCTAATACAACATCGCTATGAGAAAGTGGTATCCCACGACAAGACGAAATGGATTGTAACCAATGAGTACCCGACACATCGGTTAAATCCAATTCTCGGGATTGGCTCATTTGACGTTAAGTTTTCTTCCTCTCACCCGTCCTCAACCTTCTATTCAAAGCACTAGACAACAGCTTGATAAAAAAAGTATGTAAACAAGCAAAACTCGTCACAGACCCGACACAATACAGATGACTATTATGCAAATATTCTTACCTGACATCGAATCAAGGATGGATTAGAAATACAGGCTGATCCCGTAATTCAACATTCAAAACAATTTGAATGATGATTAACTGCGTCACACCGTGTGCGTATGAAAGCGAGTGCTGAAAATGACAAGCGTACTCCATGCAGAGGTTAAAGTTATAAGGCTTCCGACTCTGAATCACAAATAGGTCCCAGCAATATTTCTACAATACCATGGGAATGCTGATTCCAGAGAACCCTAAGCGTAGAATTTTATATTAGTCCTGGTTTAGCAAAGGTGAAAAGCTTTGCAATTAAAATCACCTCCGAATCCTGCAAACTGAAGAATTGAAGAGACAGCAGTTCATTTGTTCGGGCGTTTGCGATCAAACTCGGGCGGCACTACCCAACTTCTGTCATATCCCTTCACACGTGTTCTGTCAGGGACTAAGAAGATTCTCACGCCGTTTATGAAACAAGGAACCACGCCCTCGTACGCCGTCCGTGGAACACCAGCCTAAAAAAGTTCCGATTAACAACAAACAGAAACTCAGCACTCGTGACTCATTAGAGTTGTGGGATGCAGCGCGTTAGGCACCGTTGTTGTTACCATTTCGCTAAAATGGGGTCACTGCGTTCGTGGCAACCATATTGCATAATAGCGAGCACAAAGATAGAAAGCCTTGACACAAACGACGCAGGCGTCGCTGCTTGCGGTGGCCAATTCTGGCATAACAAACGGTGGTACCTGGCGCGTTAAACCCAAAATGACGGATTGCTAGAAATGATGAAATTGGCTACCGCTTTTTTCTCTGGCAAAAAAAAACAACTGAGCCTCGAACGAACTAGCGACGCTATACAACGAAAAAGTAGTATGGACATTTTACACTTGCATCAAATTACTTTCTATAAGCCTGTTCCTCTACAAGGCTGTTTCATACATTTCTGTGCTGTTTTAAATTCACAAACTTCCTAGGCTCAGTCAACAGACTCTAACTCAAGAACCTTTCCATAAGCCTCTCCTTCACAACCCGTATGGTCATGGGAAGCAGCTGAAGCAAAACAACGGATTCGATTCGACGGAGCATTTAATTAAAGCCGTAAACCTATACTATTCCGTTTTTTTTTTGAGCTATCAAACCTTTGTGCTATCCTTGAGGATCACGGATTCAAAAAATAACTACTCATATCTTGAACTGTACCGTTATGTTGGTAATTAGAAATAAAAGATCTCGCCTTTCGGAATATAGAATTTTGAAATCTTCATAATAAAATTGTAAGTGAAGCTTGTTGACCCCATGTTTTTCGAGAAATGGGCTTTCAGTGAAATTCTACAAAGTTTGAAAAAAACCATAGAAAACAGCTTTTTATCGAAATTCACCTTGAAGTCGTGCATAACATGAAGTTTGTCGGCCTTGATTATGAAGTCTATATTTCCTGTATATTCCACCCTGAAATTCGATTGTAGGTATTTCTTTTCACCACAATATACTGGCTTCCTAAATAATATACAACCAGTCCATAGGTCCAATTCAAATGAAAAGGAGAAGAGAAACGTAAGATCATAAAAGATCGCCAGAAATGTTTGCGAAGCGGCATTAAAACCCCATTTCAGACTAGGTCCATCTAATACGAGTAGAAGCGGATCAAAAAACAATATGAAAGCTCAAAGAAGAAATTTCCTTCACCTTATACTTCGGCGAGCAGTATTTTTCTGATCGGCAAAGGTGATAGCATCATCGATGGACATGAGGACACTGTTCTGATAGACGTCTTCAATGAAACTATTGTTGTACGCCGGCTGAAAAGATTGGGGCTAGCAGGCATCTATGAAAAAACTCTGAGAAATCATGACAAACATTGAGAAGATAATCAAGATTCATAGTAGTGAACGGAACATTGGCAACGTTGAGTACCACTTTCGCTAAATGTTTGTCGAAGAAGAGTCCTCTGAAAAGCATTTTGGTCTTCCAAATATAATTACTAATGAAAGGTTTCCCGAATATAATTACTCACTTGCTGGCCCCTTTCTTCCCTGAAGGTGTCATACCCGTTCGGCTAATCTCTGGTCGAATGCACTGGCGGCCCTAGAATTCCGCACTTAGCGTTCACAGAAACACGACAATCACATAGTAAAAAGCGGTAAAAGAAGCTTCTTGCGCTAAAAGAATCTCACTTTGCGATTCTCGGGTTCCCTCAGCCAGTCGTCCCAGAATCCATTAGGCCATTTGGGTTGAATTTCTTTCCACAGCTGGCTGAAATGATCAAAAATGAAGACATCCTATAACACTAAATTCGACAGCATTTGCAGCACATTGCACAAATTATGAAGGTAAAAGTATACCTTGTCATCATCCAACCCAAACCAGGGAAGAAATCAGTACGGTAAAGCAACGAACTCGCTTGCGCATCTATGTTCTCAACCTAAATACATTGCGTTTACGAATGATCACACTTCTTTACGAAGGCATTGATTGGAAACATTGATCTGCTCCATGTTCGTTTAGTGAAAGAAATCCACCGACCACACCAACATCAGCTTGCGACAGGCGCCAATGGGAAACCCACTGGCGCTTGCTCACTTGATGATTAGCGAGAAAATGGTAATATGGGTGGTACATTGCTTAGGTAAAGAAACGAAGAGCTCCCTGTTTTTGGTGCTCCTGGACGGGCACGAGGTGATGAACCCAACCCAGCCTTTTTAATCCCCTCCCACAGTAGCGGGTAACCCTGCTTCGACACCTCGCCACAAACGCAAAGGTATGGCACGTCGCCCCATACGTTTGTACAGCAGTGGTTTCCGTTACTCTTGCATCAGATGTTATGAAGTGAGCCACATTGTTTTAACAGATGGTTCCGCTCAACTGTTGATTCTCTACGTCGGTCAACATCTACCGCACTTCGTTTGCCCAGTAACGACACCCATCAAATCGCAGAAGCATGTGTCTTATTGGGTTGTTTTACTTTTCATACCATACTGATTAACACCTCTTTTTGACCTTCCCCACACAAGCAGTGACAGATTTTTCCTGTTCTACCGTTTTCTTTTCTAAAACTAGTATGAGCACCTATTCTCGATAGTAAGAACCTGCTGGAAACAGCTTTCAGCTAGGGCAGAAGCCGATGAGAAAGGACGACTTCACATTATTCAAAGTTCAGAGATGATCATTCATGTGCGCAAAACCTATCGAGTGCTACCTCAAATATGGCGAGGGCGCAAACAGTCGTAAACGAAAGAGGCACACAACCCTAACCGAAGGAAAAGTGCGCCAATGTTTTTTTAAATAAAAAGACCATCAAGACCATCAAAGTGGTGGTTCGGCTCGAAAACTTTGGGGTCAGACCTCCCACTCTACCTTGCGATGCGAATTTAAATAGAGAATTTCCGGCACAGCGAAGAATGTTGAGCATTTCATTTAAAAAAGCCGTTATAATTCTTCAACCTCGAGCCCCTCGAAACTCTCCATGTTTATTAAGCTTTTCTTCAGAGTGCTCAAAAAAAAAACTCGCTACAGGTGGAAAGCATTTACCATATTTTGAGATGTAGGACACGACACGTATCTCCAGACCATAAATTTTCTGGAATTCACAGACTTTTAGAAGTGAAAAAGATACTGACCTTTCCATTATCGTTCCATGCAGAAACACAAAAAAGCGTGGGATCCTCGTCCAGTAAATACCGGGTTGCTAGGAAATACTCGAAAAAGTCGACTGCGATATCAAGATCATCTGAAAATATTTGATTTCAAGACACTTTCGAGAGAACCTGGCTGATAATACAAATTATGCTTACCTTCTAACAAAATAGCACTGTTATGTCCAAGAGTATCAAACACATGCTCTAGAGCGAGCTTATAATGACGTGCAATATAGTAGTAAGTTGCAAAACGGTGGTGGTTTTTTGGTACAACGACATGTGCTTCTTGGGCGCTTTTGTGCTTAAACATACAAATTACAATCACAAGGGCACTCAAGGGCATAACTTTCGGCCTCGCTCGAGATGAGTTCCATTTATGCACTTTGGGGAGGAAGCGCATCCGTTGTTGAATCAAAACCCACGAGGATATTCCCACTGGTACATTTCCTATTACACTTACTAGTTTATCAACTTGTGTAAAAGAAAGGACAGTAAATTGGTTTCGAGTGGAAATGAATTATGGAACCGGTTCCGATTCGAGCCAACCAAAAATTCCTTATATCGGAGGTTCTAATGGGTCGATGCCTTCCGCATGTTACCATATAGACCAAACAGGCCCACCCGGATTCTCAAGGTAAAAGGTTCAGGGGCAGGAGTTAGGGGCAGGAGATGGAGTAGGACTGGTGGTGTCGCAGTAAACTCATTTTCAGTATGGCTCAAAGNGTAAATTGGTTTCGAGTGGAAATGAATTATGGAACCGGTTCCGATTCGAGCCAACCAAAAATTCCTTATATCGGAGGTTCTAATCGGTCGATGCCTTCCGCATGTTACCATATAGACCGAACAGGCCCACCCGGATTCTCAAGGTAAAAGGTTCAGGGGCAGGATTTAGGGGCAGGAGATGGAGTAGGACTGGTGGTGTCGCAGTAAACTCATTTTCAGTATGGCTCAAAGAAGATAATAGGCTAAGCTTGAAGCCCTGACTAGCGCTAGAAACATTGTGAACGACTTAACTCTGAAAGCATCAGGAACTCAATAAATTATAAGTCATGTCTAATCGGATTGCTCCACGGATCGGTAATAAGTTGAAATTGTTTCGACATACCTTCACATACTGGACCTCGTCGCGAAATTCAGCAACTGCTCTTTGGACGGCTATATTATTGCAGTCTTGACTAATTGTAATCGGAAACTGCTCCTTGGACGGACGAAGCCTTAATGTTCATATTTTCGCAAACCACTGTGTAAACCGAAACATCAAACGATAGAACATTTTCCGAATAGGGCTCGAAACATACATCACGAATAGACGAACAAAACACTGTCAAGCATAAAAGCATTGAGGTTGAATACCGCACTTACGGCGAAGAAAATAGAAAAAACAAAAGAACATACCTAGAAAATTAGACTTTTTTATTTAATACGTTCTCAACGCTGCAAAGGGGTGACGCTCACTCCCACTTGTCCGCGTCCTTTCGCGCTTTTGTTAGTGTTAGATTGTGAAGTGTTGATGATGTTAACGCCCGCGGACGCTCATACCATCTTTTCCTAGTTTATAACTTTTCCTTTGGGTTCTTGCATTTCATAAGGTAGATTACATTATTTACCTACTGAGTGATACAAAACGTTGGCAGATTCAAGAAAATGCAAGCTCACTAGTCGTGAACCAGTCATCACTTTGCATTTACAAGTACTCTGGGCACGACATATTTCCACATGAATCAGTGTAACAGGGCAGATGGTACACTCAGCCACCAGACGCTCTGAAGAGTTTGGAACAACTGGAGATTGAAGAGGTAGACAAAAGAGGCCCACAGCTACAATCAGTAGGAATATTAAGATAACACAGCAAAGGTCTGCGTAGCAGTGAATCACACTTTGCACGCAAATGAAATGACTAAAGGATTTGGTATCTCATGAAGTTCTTTAGACTATATCGTAGAAGATCGTCAGCTCATTGAGGCCTCCATACAATAAGGAGGGCTTTTTCTGAGTGTTCAGGCTGAAGAGAGGAGAAGGAATGACTCACACAGCTACTGCAACGTTTTCAGAGAAATCACAGTAAGGAATTCCTGTTTGCCAACGAAAAGATAGCCACGATGAAAAGGTGCTCAATGAGCAGAAAGACAAGATTTATGAGAAGTTGAAAAAGAAGGAAATGATTCAGGGCAAGGCTCACCCACATTTTAAGACAGCCTTTTGAGGGTATCAGCGCCGAGGCAAAAAACCGAAAATTTTTGTAAGTCCGAAATTCAAGTTAGTGTAGTGATCTATTACTAAAGTGTTGCCTGCTTTCTAATTTTCAACAGGTAGTGAGAAACGGTGAAAATCTTTTCACCAATTCTCACTCTCTTCCCTTAGGGGGGCTTCTTACTAGATCCGCTGATGATAAACCTCATCCAAGTGAAAGGAGGTTGACGAGCAGAATCCACTTATGAACAGGTTGAATATCTTCAGTGAGCTTCTTTCGCTACATTTATCTAGAAAGTTCCTCGCCGCTATGCGCCGCTGTACGCCTACGCCATCAGTTCAGGATTAAAATAAGCTCGCTTCAATTAGATGGTCTCAAAAATTGACTTTTAAGCTAGTCAGTTAGGCTGTGATCGAAAAGAAGTGACTGAAGCCAAACAGAACTCACGATAACAGCCGCTTAACAAGGTTGGAGACGGCGGTTGGCCGGTTGCAAGCGAACACCTGGAATTATGCACTTATAGACGGAATATGAAACTTCCAAAGTTGGAGATAAAAATGGAAAAAAAGAAAAATTGCAACATCAAACTTTACGTGCCCGTATACAACATATTAGAAGAAGAGAAGGGTTAGAATGTAGAATTATACACACACTTCAATCGCACTTCGCATACACAGGATGAGGCAAACCAACATAATGTAACCGTTTCATGCATAGGAAGACAGCAGGATACAGTAGAGAATTAGTACCACGTATCGCTAATTTCTGAGAGATTTGTTAACTGTTATTTGTGAAGAATGAAAATGTAATCACCCATCTGATGTATTTAGTCATAATTTTTGTCTCCCCTCTCAAACCACACCAGGACCATGACGAAGCAAATACCTGTGTAGGTCTTCCTCTCGAGCTTGTCCTACACAGACCAGACCCACACAAGTATTCGCTTACCTACAGCAGAATCTTCCGCAGCCCTAGATATCTGCATACACGAGAAGCAGGAAAAAAGTAGGAAATAGGTAGCAAACAGCAAAAATTGAACACGGTAACGAATTTACACTGGTAGTTAGAATCGGAGAATAAATAGTGAGATTAGATAGGCGAAGAGAGGCAGGAGATCAGCAGTCAGCAACATTTTAACACCAATGTCACGTAGAGCGCATTGAGTTGCATTCAAACAAGGTGCCGCAGAACCTTCCGATGAATAAACGCAATCGTTGACAACGGTCTTGTTAACTAGGTAGTTATGGAATCAATTTTGGAAATTTAGCACTCGCGCGATTCGTTTGAACTTTTTGACATGAGAGCCCCTGAATTTCCTGAACGAAGAACGTAAAAATGAGTAGATGTTTATTATGTGCAAAAGTCCAGAAAATATGTTAATACAAGATTCAAAATCACCCGGACGAAGCACTTTACTTGAGTTATTTCAATACTCTAGATCATAAGAAAAATGCTCTTACCACAACTGCTATTGGATCAGCCCATCGCCTTTTTGTAGCAATGTGTGGAATGTTACGATCTTCGGCCTGAAAATGGGTCACTCTCATTACTTATGCGGTCTACAGTAACCGCTGAAAGCAAGGGTTTCCTGAAGAATTATTTATAGCTCTCCACACCTTTAATAATCATTACTATATAGATAACGCGCTCGAGTCTGCTGTCAAGGGGTTCGATATTACCTGAAAAAGCACCTGAAAAGGCCGGGTAAGTTTGGAATGGATTGGGCGTAGTGCAGGAGAGAGGTGGGGGTGAAAATGAGTGAGCGCTGCCGTGAGCAAAACTTTTTAGTTTGTAATAGCCCTGACGCCATGAAAAAAATGAACAAAGGAGTGGAATGTATCGGCGGATGAAGTGCAGGAACCGACACAACGACAGCCTATAGGACAGGAAAAATAAACGGAGCGCGCAAGGTCTAATATGTGCTGGCTGGGCAGGTGTTGACTCAGCGAAGCTCCACTCACGATGGGCGGGGCGTGCATGGAAGGTACTCTGAATGGTACTCTCAGAAAGCATATAGACTCTATTGAAATAACTGTTAGGATGTGGAAAAGGGGGAAAGAGGAAAAGAGATTGAGGCGTTTCCTATGAAAATGTAAAGAGTATTTGAACAAGTTTTCAGGCGTTGCAACTACATAAAGAGCTATATCAATTTAAAAAAATTCCACTCCACAATTGCCATGAGCCACGAGTAGTTGCTTTAATCTTCAACGTGGGGTGTCCCTGTGAATGCAGCAGCCTTTACAACGCCACTAAATTAAACCGAATCTAGGTGAGGCGTACACCCAATTCTACATTTGATCCCTTACAGTGCCCATCTAGGCCCCTTCCGATCTGAAAACTTCATCGTGGTATAACTGGGGACACAGATTGATCTCGGGAAGATATCTCAGAAACTCAAGAAGCGGGCCTTTTAACCAGGAAATACGCGTGCAAGACATAATCAGCTTACAATTTAGCTATAGAGTTATAAGAGTCGAAAGAATCACAACGCAAATGGTAAAAAGCACCCCACTGCTACTCCTAAGTATTTGCAACTGTTTGTTTCAATACACTTGCCAGTCGCGAAATAAAAAGTGCTCTTTCCCTTCTCACTAAAATAATTATCATGGAAGTACCACTAATTGCAGCACTCTTAGAATCAATATAAATTAACAAGCAAAAAGATTATAGTTCGTTATTACAATGCAGTGGTTTACACTCTCCTGAATAATTAATGACACCTTTAATTTCTCAAAATAAAAGGCCCTATCTCGACGATTCCTACGCTTTCACCTCTTGACATAGAATGTATACAAAGGCTCGATAATGTAAGCGGATATATCAGTCAGAAGATACCTTTTGTAGTGAAATCGAAGCGCTCAAGCGGTTGACTGAAGCTATCAACCGTTTGATCTCCTCTTGATCCTGCTTTGCTTGTTGAGCTAGGAACGCTGCAGCTTGAGAAAGTTTCTCAACATCATCAGTGGGCTAGAACAACAATATTTAATATTAATAAGGCAAATGCAATAAGTTCAAAAATATTACCACCAGAGAGGGCACTTCACGTTGTGCTAATCCAATGAATAAATAAATCCAGACAATGATGGGTATTGCGAACAAAACTGAATACCGACTCCTGGAGCTTGGCATGCTGCTCGATTCTGAAAACATTTAGACCGCCATGTTCTTCTTCATTCAAAACCAAAGCAACCGGACAAAACATGAGTGAT